AAACAAACAAACAAACAAACTCACTGTGGTGGAGTCGGACTGACTCATAGCGACCCCTCCTTGGGTTTCCGAGGCAGTATCACTACGGAAGTAGATTGCCCAACCTTCCTTCCAAGGAGTGGCTGGTAGATTTGAACCACCAGCCTTGTGGTTAGCAGTCAAGTGCCTTAGGCCGCCAGAGCTACTCCCGAAGGAAGGGACTCTTTGTCTCTCACTGGGTGTGGGAAAGTGAGGTGGGTGCTCCTGGCCACCTCACCCACACTGTCTCCCCAGGCCCTCCCCTGGGGAGGCTGCCTGCAGGAACCCAGGTCTGGGCTGGGGGAGGCAGGAACTTTACTGATGGGGGGACAGTGGGAGAGAGGCCTCCTGTGCCCAAGTTCTGAGTTCAAGTCCCGCCACGGTGGGGAGGGGCTGTCCAAATTGTCAGAGCCACGACTGTGTTGCCCGTTGGGTGGTCACTGGCCTCAGGTGCTCTCCGTCCGGGAAAAATGTCCAGGCAGAGGCAGTCTTGAGCCCCAGTCAGCAGGTGGCATGGGGAGACTCCCCTAGACACATAGGCTGGGCCACCATCTGGCCTGGGAGCTGCCCAGAGCCTCCGCCCTGCAGCTGCCTTGGAGACTTGCAGCTGGTCCCTGCACACACACCCCCACCCCAACAGCAGGCAGCTGCAGAGGTGACAGGGTGGAGTGCCCTCCGCGGGGGTAGTGCAGCAGTTCTTTTTGCAAACATCTGGCCAAGGAGCGCTGGGTGGCCTGCTAGCGGCCAGTGAGGCAGATGGACCGGGGTGATCTCATAATCGGGGAGGGGGCTGGCGGGAGGCCGTCACCAGGGATGGGTCAGGGAGGCAGGTCCAGGTAGAGGCCCACATGGGACTGGGTGGGGGCTCACAGCGAGGCACTGGAAGGTGCAGAAGCTCAGGGCTGGGGCAGGTGGGGGGGTCTCCTGGGGGTGACCTAGTGGCTGGGAGATCTGGACCCCAGCAATGAAGCCATTTGCCCAATGGCCAGCGCACAAGTGGCCTGAGGAATTGCATATCTTCCACAAGAGGGCGCCTTCCAGCCCCAGTGCGCTTACCTGGCCTGTCCCAGCTGGGTGGGGATAGGGAGAAAGCCCCTCTTAGGGTGGAGAGCAATGTGCAGGTGGGACAGAAGAGCCCAGGTGGCTGTGGTGAGGGTTTGCTGGGTGAGTGGTGGGTGACGGACAGATGCTACATGGCCCAGCCCTGGGGGCATCCAGCCAGCAGGGACCTCTGAGTCGGTGCCTCAGGGCAGGCCCTGCGGTGGTCTGCAGTGTGTGTGTGTGGGGGACGATAGTCAGAGGAGCTAAGCGGAAAGACCAGGAACTGGGGGCCCCCTGCCCTTCTCTCAGGGCGCCCTACCCTTCGCCAGCCCTGAGGGACAGGGACAGACCCCTAGCTCTGCTGCGGACTTAGCCCTGTCCTGGGCGCAAGGCTGGCTGCACCTGCAGCCTGGCTGAGTACCCTCATCCACCCCGACTGCAGCTGAACTCCGGCCCGAAGTGAAAAACAAAATTGACCTCCCACCAGATACCACCCTGATGGTGTCTCCAAGAGGTGTCCCACACAGGGACCAACATGGACTGGAGCCCTGGGGCGGGGGTGGTTGTGGAGGGACTCCTATCTGCCTCCTGAGGCCTCGGCCCAGGGATCAAGTTTTGTCAAGGTGAGTCATTCAGTTGTCCAGAGCCTGCAGGGGAGGCGGTTAGGGCCCCATGGCACAGGATGCTACAAGGGGTCCCCTCCCAGTCCAGCAAGTCCCAGCCATCACAGTTCTTCTGTTGAGTTTCTCCCCTCCACTGCACGAGCTCCAGTTCCTTAGAGGATCTGTCCTCAGCTCAGGGCCTGGCCACCTGACAGGTACGTTCATGAGGCCCAGGTGCCAGGATGTGCTGAGTGGGTGCCCTCTTCTGGGGCCCCGGTCGGTCACTGTGTCCCAGAGTCTTCCTCCTAGGGGCACTGAGGGCCCGCCTCCATACCTCCAGGCCCAGCCCAGGACCAGGGCCCACTGGGCCCCCCACAGCAGGAATGTCGGCCTCCCCCAAAAGCCTGCCCAAACTCCAGCCTGAAGGCCCGCCTCCAATAGGCCTTCCCGGGCCCCTTCCCGCCGGACGGGCCTCCTGGCCAGCCCTGCCCCCCACCGCCACCCCGGCCGACTCCGGGCTGAGGCTGCCCCCCAGGGACACCTCCCACAGTCAACCGACGCCCCGCTTGGAGGCAGATGCCCAGGACTCGTCCATATCGCCTTCCTGGCCGTCCTCCCCAGGCCGGGAGCCGCCCGTGCGCCGCGCCAGCGGGGACACCGAGGCCCACGAGGCCGCCGCCTCG